GAGTTCCATGGAATGCCATAGAGTTCCATGGAGTATCCATGGAGTTCCATGGAATGCCATGGAGTTCCATGGAGTATCCATGGAGTTCCATGGAATGCCATGGAGTTCCACGGAGTTCCATGAAGTAGTGATGGAGTTCCATGGAATGCCATGAAATTCCATGGAGTTTCCTTGGAGGTCCATGGAATTCCAGTGAATATTGTAGAGTTCCATGGAATGCCATGGGGTTCCCTGAAGTACCGATGCAGTTTCATGGAATGCCATAGCGTGTCCATGGAGTTCGATAGAATACCATGCAGTTTGTATGAGAAAATCCATAGAAATTCAGAAATCAAGCAACTCATCAACTCGTTAACCACATGTTCAAGTCTGCACTTTTTATTGAATAGAAAAATAGGAAACATTTGGAAGTTTTCTAAAAGCAAAATAGTGCATTTAGTTTAAATTACACAGACAATGCAAAAGTATTGTTCACCGACAGGCGACGCTGAAAGTCCCAGTGTAAGAAATTTTATTGCTAACTATAAAGAGGAATGTTTTGAGTGCTTAATAAAAAAATGATCCTGTTAAAAAAAATAAATATAGAAAATTGTTTTTTAGTAGGGCTGTCTGCCATTTATCTTTTAAAAGCAGTGTTGCATTTAAAATATGAGAAGATCACTGTTATTAACAACATGCAGTTGCTTCATTACATTGACACAGTGCTGCTATTCATACAGGACCCGTACACCGACTTGTATTTGCTATGACATACGTGATGAAGTCTCTACTTGAAATTTATATGAAATTTTCAAGTCTCTTGAAATTTCTGATCAACAAATTTCCATGAAAGTGTAAGTCTCTTCAACCACTGTTCCATTTTTAAGGAAAAAATTTCAGTGGCAAATTTTGAAAAGAAGAAAAATTCGATGTGGCAAGATTGAGAACCGATCCAGGGGCGTAGAATCCACAGTTCCTAACCTAACCACTCTACCACTGAGTTAAGTAACTCTCTACTAGGTGAGTTTGATTTTACTCATATAAAAACAACCGTAACCCTAATTGGAAGCTAACCGTTTCGAGTCAGGGCTTTAATAGCCCTAATCAGTTTAGTCGGAATCCCGTATGAATAGCAAATACAAGACGATGTACGGGTCCCGTACTTAAATAGCCAGTAGAAAATGATCCCACTAGGCACATATTACTCTTCTCGGTATCGAAGTGTTTTTGGTTGAGAACTAAGATTTTCCCTGTTACTCGAGTCCAACCTGATTGATGAGATTGCTTTGCATGGAGTATTTCGGCGAACCTACACAAGCAATATTAGAGTTTTTTTGCCGCATCCATGGATAGGCTAGTCTGCTACACAGCCGTTTTTAGTGGGGAGAAGCGTTGCGTGACGACACTAACAACGGCTGTGTATCAGACTATGAATAGGCCTGCTGCCTTTTTTCAAAGGTTCCCTCACCTGGACGAACAATGCAATATTTTTCTCTCACTGCTTTACTCTTCGACAGTGTCGGAATAGTTCAATTAACTCTGAAAGGGACCACAATTTAAAGCCTTTAAAGACAGACATCTCCACGATCGTGCCGTGATTTGACGCCATGTTTGGTGCTTGAACTGGCGTCCAGGCCTCCCCGCTTAGTGACTTACGCGATCACGTGGGGCTCTTGAACCAATAGAAATGCGTAGAAGATCAGTTTTCTTGGTTCGAATCTTTAGGCGGACTTCTGTGCAGTACGACAGAGTTGTGTAAACGGATTGTCTGTACAATGAATGCATCCGAAAAAGATGTTATTTTCAGCGCAAAATATCACTTGTTAGGTTGCTTACATTTGGCTTGTTTCAAATCAACTTCGATTGAACAATGACTCAGCTGGATCGCACATTAAAAGAGGAAGGTAAGCTTAATATGTTGACAACTCGTGTTTGGTTGCTTAACTGAATTCGTCCGCTCGATTGTCTCTGCTAGATTTAGAAGGGTGACTTTTCGGGTGCTGTTTATCGGTTTTAATATGTAGTTTTCATCTTTTTTTGTTTATACAGATATGAATGTGGTCTTTCCTGCAAATTGCCTTTGGAATCCTTCGAAATAGTTACTAATTCTGGCAGAATTAGAAATCGAAGACTGTACTTCGATGGACTGCTCCGATGTATAAGAAGAAATATCATATTTAGAATTTTCATGCCTGCTACGTAAAAACTGTACAAGAGACTGATAAATTATAATTGTGGCTGACGCCGTTTTTCCCAAGGATTAGGTAGGACTTTGCTATAACTAAATACCATGGTTCTGATCGAGGAAATAAGTAGCTCTTCGCTTTTTCGTGGCATTAAATAAAGCGATGTTTAAGTCTTACATACTGACGGTTTATGCATTCAAGTATTAGCTTATTTTTTTTCTCTCAATTATGCATCTGTTCGCCTGTTACTTTTCTTAAACACCAGGCCAAGATTCCTTGCTTTATATTAAATCTAAATTTTTCATTTAAGCTACTTCAATATGATTGCTGCGTTCTAAACTGCAATGTATATAGTCACAAGTAAACATTAATTTGTTTTAGCTACAGTATGTCAAATTTTCCACCAAAAGCATGTTAACTTTTGATTAATATCTTTAAAAAGAGGTTTATGCGGTCCTTTTATTGATCAGATAAATTGCAGTGGACCAAAATCTGTTATGTATTCCATTTGATTCACTGGATATTTTAAATGTGTAATTCCTGTGAATTCCATGAAACTCCCTGGAGATCCATGGAATAATCGATGGAGTAGTTTCTATGGAATTGCATGGAACTTTTCCATGGAATTCCATGGAAAATGTCGATGCAGGAATTTCCAGGGAAATTGTTGTGCTAATGTTTTCCATGGAATTCCATGGGAAATGTCCTAATCCTCCATGGAAATCTATGGAGAAATTTCCATGGAATTCCATGGAAATTGATGTCCTAATCCTCCATGGAATTCCATGGAGGTTTTTCACACGGGATATTCTTCTTCACAAAAAGCATTGGAGTTTATTTGGAGCATTCTCGCAGAAGAACACAAAAACTTACTATAATCGACCAGGCGCCAGTTGGTCGAAACTGGATGGACAGCGCTATCCATTGGATAAATTGCTATCCAAAAGATAGCCCAATTGGTGTTCGTAATACTTATCCTCTGGATAGCGATTTATCCGGTGGATAGCCCTATCCAATTTTTGAACAACCGACCCCAGGAGATACAAAATCGATGAAAATTTATATTTAGAGCCTCATAACTACCAGATTTATTAATATGTAAACATTGGTGATTTACGTCATCACTATAGAAATTCTGTCGCTGATGTGCACGCAGGCTAACTCATGTGTGTTGTGGCCTTTACCTTGAGTTAGATCGTAGAACGAAAAGTGTATTGTTGAAACGTCAAAAAAATAAACTCAGATTTGAAAGAAAGTATGCAGTCCAAGATTACTGAATTAAATTCCAGAAAAAACGAATCAAGGATGCTCCGCAAACAGCCAGAATCCAGGGATGAGGCCTCTTCACTCGGCCCCTTGTTTCCACTTATTGGAAGTGTACGCCTAGAAAGTCCATAGAAACGTTTTCCCCTTGTAGCTGCCTTATTACATGAAATTCTGGCGACACTTTAATTTAGCGAATTTAGCGAATTTTCTAAAAATCGCTAAATTAAAATGAACCAGATTAAGTGTCGCTAAATTTAAATCGTGGCTAAATTATAGTGAGTACAAAAGAAGGACTATGCAGTCTTCGGATGATTCCATGCGGCAATTTTTCGCGGTTTTTCGCGTGTAACGTAGCCGTTTTGGATGCATTGTATGCGTCGGAGATAATTTTTCGACCTTTCAATCTCGCCGAGTTATTGGCGAGATCTCGGCGAAAAATCGTTTATCTCGCCGCGATCTCAGAGACATTAAGAAATCTCGACGAGATCTCGTCCCGATCTCAGAGACATTACAAATCTCGCTGAGATCTCGTCCGGATTAACGCGATCTACGAGATCTCTGTCATCTCGGCGAGATCTCGCTTATCTCGCCTAGATCTCTGCGAGATCCTCGCCGAGATCTAGGCGAGATCTCTGTGAAAATACAAATCTCGCCGAGATTTCGGTTAAATTTTTGCACGGGCAGAGTCGTAATCGGACACGCAAGCCAAAGGCATTTTCATTATGAAAAAACTTTGAAAAGATGCCTGATTGACGTCAGCTATTTTTTCCTTAGGATACTCTATTAACCCCATTTTTAGTGGAAACTTAGTGGCAGCTGCTATGTCACAGGTTTTACTTCTATTAGGTAGTCAATTTATTGTTCAATGTGTAGGGTCAAACATGATGCACCACCCCAGTTCTAGGATAAACGCAAATTCCCCACGAATTGAGAGACCGTACTCTATTATTATTAATGATTTCAAAAAAATTCAAATGACGAGAATTCTTATTTTTTACTTCAATATCACAAACCTTTTCCTTTTTTGCAATTTTTTGGACCCCAATAGTGAACACTAACATATGGCAAAATTCGCGTGTTTGAATTATCTTTACATGTAGTATGTTTGGGCGTTGCAAATATTTTTCTCCCTATAAATACGTCTACGGATTTGTAGTACTTCAAAATTAAATTAACGTACACTAGGTAGCGTAATGTTTTTTCTTGAATACTTGAATATCTGATTATGTTCCTGTGGATTTCCGCTTCCTCTAAGAAGTCACTTTTCAGTTCTAACTAGTTGTAATTTAGCAGTCTTAATTTCCTCCATAAACTCTTACTCGGTCCCAGTTCTCTCTATTAAGCTTGCTAAGGTTGTATTCTAACAACAATCCGGTTATGCAACTTAAATCCGCCGACGTAAGAGCAAAAATTGAGAGTTCCGATTTAGCGACGCCATAACAGAAAACCAACCCTTTTAGTTTTCTTGAAGATATCGTCTTAAAAAAGTTAGTAGGACTTGGTTAACGAAAGCGTGTGTCGCACAAGACCGAGGAATGCATGCTTCAAATTAAACGTTTAACGATGGCTTTAATGTAATTGTGAACTACGAGCCTGGCTGTACTGACCAACGTCACAATTAACTGAGAGAGGATTCTCTCCGACTGATAGACGGTTGATCGTCGACCATTGATGGAGTTCACTGATTATTTCCTTTCTAATGGCACGGCACTTCTCATAGTACTCTTGAGCCTGACTGTACTTGCCAAGGTTACTGTAAACATTTCCCAGATTGTAATAGCTTAAAGCTACGTCGCCGTGGTGTTCACCATAAATATCCTTTCTGATGGCAAGAGATTTTTGATGGTAGTCTTCAGCCTGTTTGTACTGACCGAGGTCACTGTGAACCTTTCCAAGGTTGTTGTAGCTAGTCGCCACGTCACCATGGTGTTCACCGTAAATCTCTTTTCTAATGGCGAGAGACTTTTCTTGGTATTCTTTAGCCTGACTGTACTGACCAAGGGCACTATAAACATTTCCGAGGTTGTTGTAGCTCATAGCTACATGACCATGGTGTCCACCGTGATCTTTTTTTGTAAAGAAGGCCAACGACGTCTCATAGCACTCTTTAGCCTGACTGTACTGACCAAGGTTACTGTAAACATTTCCCAGGTTGTTGTAACTTGCCGCTACGTCTTCATGGTCTTCGCCGTAAATCTCTTTTCTAATGGTGAGAGACCTTTCATGGTACTCCCTAGCCTGGGTGTACTGGCCAATGGAACTATATACATTGCCGTGTACGTGGAAATGATCTGACCTTAGCAGTCTATCCTTCGGTTCATTATTAAGATAATCTAAAAAGTAAGATGATGATTTTGAAAAGAAGTAAGCATCTGATAGTTTATTTAGGAGGCAGCAGACTTCTGCAGTCGAGGAAAGCCACGAAACTAAATCACCAGGGGTGATTAAATGTGATAACTCCTTATCTAATAATTCTGTGTAGATAGTAAAAGTAGTTCTGAAAACTAGGTATAGCTGTCTACAATGATGGGTAATCTTGTCTAATTTTACGCACACTTTCCCACTAGCTTGTAGAAGATTTTTGTTTGTCTCTATCAATGAATGAAAAATAGTAATAGAAACAGAAAGGCACTCAGTTATATAGGTCAAGTCCCGGCCACACGTTGTAACTGACTTCAACACCTCGTAAATGACGTTATGTACTCTGAAATAAGTGATAGTGCGGTCTTCGTCAAATACATAAGATATCAAGGAGGATTTCTGAATTTTAGCTCTGATGAACTCTTCTGCTTGCTCTGTGGTACGATATTTAACGAAGCCAACAACAGCTTCAGCTGGAATAGAATCAGATGCGCATAGCGAAAACAAAACAAATACTTCACGAAGAATGTCATCGCTTTCTATAACTCTTGTTACGGCCAGTTTTATGGAAGAAGACATTGTCTGCGGATATGCTATGTTCTGTTTCACAAAAAGTTCTTCTTTGGCTTCACGTTCGTTGTTCTCAAACGTTTCTAGGTATTTTCTCCAACCATAATTGGGAGAACCATGGTTGACAACTGTTTGTACGTAAACTGCTGCAGCTGCTAAGGCAAGTGGCTGATACTCAAGAGCTTCAGCTACCTTCTCTGCTTGATCTTGATTTGACATTTGTGAGACTTTCCATAACAGATCCAATGCGTCATCTGGATCCATGCCTTGGTTAAGAGACTCATGATATGTATGAGGAGCATTTGAGGGTACTGACCAGGTATCTAGAGTAGTTATGAGCACCTGACCATAGCCCCATTCTTCACTGCCAGTCGCGGGCAGATAGCAACGAACAGAGGGTAGGTCAACGACGTTATCTATAATTATCAGCCAGTAAGAGAACTGTTTCATCTTTGGAGTAATAAAACGCTTTAAATCCTGAATTTTTTCTCTTGGCTCGCCCTTTGTGGAGACCGCTAGGTTGGTCAAAGCGTATTCCGTAATCCCCAGATGTCTAGCTAGACAGAAATAGGAGTCGGCAAGTGAGTCAAGGGTTTCTGCATTCAAGGTTGCAACAAATGCTAGGCCTTCACCTTCACTTAATCTTCTGTCAAAGACTCCCTGTCCCACTTGACGCGCAATTTGACTTTTACCACAGCCCGGTATCCCTGATAAATAGATGGTGCTGACGGCTCTCTTGTTTTTGTGTTGAAGCTCGTCCAGTTTTTTCGTGATTCTCGTGACATCGCCCAAACGTCTAATGATTTGATGTGATGGCTTTAATGTGAGACTGCAGAAAGATTCGACTGTGGAATTGATTTCCTGAGTAAGACTTTCTCTTACTTTTTGCTTCTTCTGCAATTTGTTTTGAGTCAATTGCAATTCGGAGTTTAGGTTTTTCACTTCCTCATCTTTCGTTTTTAAATCATGTTTGAGTTTACCAGCCTGCATCTTCAAGCTTTTTACTTCTGCTGTGGGAAAGCTGGTCTGGTTTTTAACAATCTCAACGTCATCAAGAGGAAGCTTCAAAGACGTGAATGCCACTAGCACTCTTGCTGCATAATTCTGGAATTCAGCATCTGTAAGTTCAGCGTCATTCATGTGAGAAATATCATTTCTAACTTGTCGGAGATCATCAACTTCTTTTCTGATTGCCGCACTCAGCGTGGTGCCAATTGTATCCGAATACAAGATTGCAAAAATTAGACAACTGCAGTCCCACTCTGCCGTGTTTCCTTTTTGTATTGTCGTTAAATATCGAGCATTCTTTTTTAGGCTTTTTGTGGTCTCGTTGTTGTAGAAATCGTGTCCATTTTGTGGAATGTCTTCCCATTTCCCAAACGGAGTCGTCATGTAAAGGAAATTCCACTCTTGTTTGAAGACCTCCCGAAGTGCTTCGGGGACCAAGTTGAAGGCGATGTAACATATTCTGAAATAGTTTAACTGCTCTGAAGTGTACTCCATTCGAGTGCAGGATCTGGTGAAAATGAGTTGAAAACAAAACTTGAATGAGAACCAGCCTAACACCAATAGAAGTATATATGGCCCATTTCAAACGCCGCGTCACTGCCGTGCCGAACTCAAAGAGTCACACTAAATTCGACATAGCCGCGCCAGTAGAAAGATTTGGTTTTAACCACCGTGCTACAGCTGTGCTGAACTCAATTCTTAAACTAGTAGTAGTTGACACAACAGCTGCCCCCGCTCTGTTTATATTGTCGGCCAACAGTATTCTTGCTCGTTGAGTAGCTTTTTGAAATATACCCGTCCGATTCATAATGAAGATTTTCACGCATATTCCACACAATAGGTGAGATGAATATAGGAAACGCAAAAAGGTTCCATGCACAGTTCATGTTCGATTTACACAGCTTTGATCAAAACATTCTCAGTTTCGAGAGTAGTTTATTCTAAACCATAAGAAAAGATTTAGTTAGAAGTTGAATTTTTCGCTATTTCTCTATCACTTTTAACATTCAGTTAATTTTATTTGCCGGAAAGTAAGCCTTTATTATAAATTAAAAGGACGTTTGATCAATTCACGCTCGCGGATTCTAATCTTATGTAAAACTTTATAGCGGAAGGACATCTGTGAGCAGAGAATAAGTCAGCACAGAGTTTGATTGTCGGCGAGTTTCTGTAATTGTCCATCGTTCTGCTAGTGATAAGCTAGCCGTTATTCACTTGTCTTGCTTGTTTTGGGGCTGAGTCTTATTCCGGTCAAAGAGAGGAAAGAGTGTCTGCCAAGGTTTCCAATCAAAGATCGATTTGTGAACTCGTATCTGGAAAACTCTCCAAGTGTTTATATATGTATACAGTTATACGCACCTTATAACTTTATCTGCGCTTAACGAGTGTCTTTTGGTCCATAACTTTCAAAACAACTGCTCCACAGAATGTCAATGATAACACGTAACGCAAAAGAGTATCGAAGTATGCCTGCACAATAAATGTCAAAAAATCTACCTAAGGGGTCCCTTCGGGATTTTCTGTCTTTACGTCATCCTAACCATTTGCGTACTTGCGGGCGCAAACAGTAGAAACGTCATCATTACCTACCGATTCCTAGCGGTCCCTGTTCAAACAAATCGAGATTTTTGGCATACTGACTGTATATTTCAACTGTAAGTAGTTTCCTTAATATACGCGCGAGTTACTAGGGTGCCTCCTCGTGATTTCGCCTTCTGGGCGAAATCCCTGCGGGGGCAATTATCAAGTTGACGAAACTGCTTTTGCAAAAGTTATTTTATTCGACTGAATTTGACGTCTGAAACCCAGTTAGCTAGCTTATATATTTCGGTTGTCATTGGCATAACATTTGACATGGGTCTTTTAAGTTGCAATGAATGGTGGACTTTTATATAGCGACGGACGGGATATTATCACTTTCAGTGGAATAATCTTGTCTTATAATATATGTTTAAATAATAATCTGGGTAAATTTGCATAAAATGTGTGTACAAATTAGTTTAACAATTTTCATTTAATGGTATTCATTTTGGTATAGACCTTCACGGTTTACAGTCATCGTTTTCGACGCATCTTGACGAGTAGTCAAACGCGTGAGAAATTACAGTGTTGTGTAGGAATCCAATGTCGAATAATTTCCGTAGAACGGCTGTTCTGAAAAAAGCAATGAATTGTAAACTCAGACAAGCTTCACTTCTAAGGATCAGTAGGGAAAAAAATTGAGGGTATTACATGCGCTAGACGACCTAGGGCCACTTTTATAAATTTTCTGTACATTTGTCTGTAAGAAAGTGCCGGGAAAAATTACAGACAAATGTATGGAAAATCTAAAGCAAGCCTCTAGAGACTAAGCACAGGTACGCCCCAGACTTTTTTAAGCACAATCCTTTGTTTTGTAGCTTTAGTTTACAAGTCATTTTTTTTTTTTTTCAGAACAGCCGTTTTACGGAAATTATTCGACATTAGATTCTCATACACACACTGTAATTTCTCACACGTTTGCCTATTCGTCAAGATGGCGTCGAAAACCGTGACAAGAGGGCCATTTATACGAGGAAAAATAAGACGCGTCTTACTTAAGACGCGTCTTAAATAAGACGCGAACTTTCCGTATAAACGGCACATTTCGTCTAAAATAAGACGCGGCTTAGCTAAGACGCGTCTTATTAGATAAAACATGCTCGTATAAATGGTACAGTTCGCGTCTTATTTAAGACGCGTCTTATTTTTCCTCGTATAAATGGCCCTGAGGTCTATTTGTACGCCTACCTGAATTAGTAGATGAGTTTTAGTTGGGACGACAAATGAACGGCCACCACGAATACTAAAAAAAGGGTTTATCATCAGAAGATCTAAGATTGTATCTAGAGACAGTTTTGAGATTTCAAAGTTTTGTCATATGTGCTGAAGCAAGCCCAAGACTTCATGCTGGTAAAACGTAAGATTTTAAACTGAATTCTGTATCTAATCGGCGACATGAAAGTGGAGACTAGAAAGAAAGGAGTGATGTGAACCAATTACAAATCAGCCTTGCCTTTGCAACCCACAAACTTTGAAGCCTGAGTGTACAGCAGGTTATTAGTCATGCCATACACGAGTTAAAGTAAAGAAACAGGTACCCATTTACAGTAATCCAGTCGACTAGTTACATAGGTATTAACTAAAATCTGAGTACGATCAAAGCTGAGAGAGGTCTTACGTAATTCTTCCAATGTCACATAACTGGAACTTGAAGACAGCCTTACAGATTAAAATTTGTGTGTTTATCTTCAATTGCATGTATATCAAATCAGCAACCCAGCTAGGTTCTTAACTCTGCTTAATACAGGGCAGTTGCTCTGTCGCCGCAATTTGAAAACAGTCTATATTAACTTTCTTAAGTTGCTGCCTCGTCCTTTATAATGATGATAGATTCTGCTTTAGCCTAAGCCTGTTCTGTCTGATAGCATCCATTCTATGACGACTACTGCAGTTTGCTGGCTGTAAGTTGCACTGATTTCCAAAAGTAAATCACGTTAGACTCTTAGCCAATTAAAAGACAGATAGTGGGTACAATAAAAAGTAAATCGTTCTAAACACGCTTTTAATACGAATTTATTGACAAACTATTGTCAACTCTTGATTGTCTTTAGCCAGTCTTTTATAATTGTTGCTCTCTGTGGTCAAATACGCATCACAGTACAATCAAATGGTGATGACTGAAATTAGGGAATAATTTCTCGTGCGTTTTGTCCAAATCCTCAAATAAGTTCCCGAGCCTAAAACGTTTAGAACTTGAATTCGGCTTAAGTTGCGAATCATAATTTTTCCACAAAATAGTGCCTGTTAGTATAGGCAATAGGATGATTTGTAGTGATATTTGGCATATATACCACGAGTGATTATTTCGAGATTGTTATAGGCAATTTCACAAGCCTTTAGGCGAGTGTAAATTTGAGATAATTTTGAAATATCACGAGAGGTATTTAAGTCAAATATCACGTACGAATCATGCTATTATTTGTTTATACTACTACCCGCAAAAGGTTTGTAATTTTCACATGTAGGTATTTCAAATTAAGCTGAAATACCACTGCTCTAAGCCAATCAGATTGCAGAAATTTCTCGCGGAAATTTCGCGCCAATTACGACCACCCTTAAGTCCTCAGGTTGGTTATATTTTACAGTGACAATATACTTTCTTTTAGGTGTGTTACGGGTTGCGCTTCCGAATTGTTGTAACTAGTGCTCAAATATCCGATCGTGAAACTCGTAATTCGCAAAAAGTTGGAAACAATCTGTTACATACGGAGGATTTTCCATTATAGAATAGTTTCCATATGGAATGGTATTAATAAGGACTCAGTGAAATTATATAAGAACTTTCGAGTATTTTAAAAAGCCTGACCTTTAAAAAGAATCGTGAAACGCAGTTGAGCTTTTAGATGTTTTAGTTAATGGTATTGAATTTTTAAATGAATTATCATAATTATAAGTCAAATTAACTCATCTACAATTTGTGAATTCTTCTTTCCTCTCAACTGAGTCGAGTTTCTTAAAGATCTAGTAAAAGGATAAGTACAATAAAGGTATAGTTGTATTGTATCTTGACATATCTAGGGGGACGTCGTTGACCTGAAATATTGGCGTGGAAGCTTACAACACGACGACAAAGGCAATCAAAACGTCGCTATAAAAGATATGAATTTCGTTTTCATGGTTTATCAAACTTTATCGTGTTTATTTAGCCTCGCCCAATTTGCCAAATGCTGACGAATTTTTCCAGGAGTTGATTGATTCATCCATGCTCAAAAGGGAAAGGAAAATTCGTCTAATGGTGTATTAACGTCCTCCATAAAATGTCACATAAGGTAGCTATAGCTTCAGGCGTTGTCGCACAGCTAGGGCGTACAGTCAGTGGAGATCACGGAAAAGTTTACCGAAAAGTGTGATACACATAAGATCAATGTTCCCGTTACCTTCGTCGTCGAGGTTGCTTTCTAGTTGCATCCCTGACTCTGGAAACACAATGTTCATTATGAACAATGTAGAACATATGTTGTAGGAAACCGTGTTCTTTAACTTGTGTGAGGTTTGAGGAATATTCATTGTCAAAGTATTCAGGAAAATCTAAAGGTCGTTTCTGACATATCAATAGGGAGCTTAAGCAACTACGATGACGACGACAACGACGACTTCAAAAAAACAATAGATTTAATGATCAAAACAACAGCTCTGCAGGTGCATCACGCCTTTTAGTACATTTCTTTGACGTCCACTGCACGACTACGACGTGAAACCTCCTAATTGGACGATTTGTGGAGGTCGTGGACATACGACGACGAATTTTCCTTCATCTTTTTTAACCTGAATAAGATTCTTAAGAATTTTAACCCCAGGGAACGTCGCCTGTATTTGACATATTGAGCGGGTCCAAATAGACGCGATTAAGTTTGCTTGCTTGCTTGCTTATTTCGAGCGAACTCGAACTCCATTAACTAGCTTCATCCATTCCTTCCGGTTTTCCATGATGTTCTTCAGTTCAGCTATGCTCAAACCAGTATCATTTTGCAGCTGGTCTACGTATGTTAATGCTGGTCTTCCTCTCTTTCTTGCGCCGTGCTTTGGTTCCCAGAGTAGTAAATCACTTATCACCTCATCCTTTTTTCTCCAACAGTGTCCTATAAACCGCAGCCTCCTGATCATCAGTGTATCTGTAATCTTAGGAAGATTGCCGTACAGTTCTTTGTTGGTTTTATGCTCCTTCCAGGAAACTCCAAGAACTGCTCTGAGCATTCTTGTGTACGTACCATCTAGTCTATTCATCATCTTTCCAGTCATCGTCCAGCATTCAGCACCATAAAGCAGTACACTTTCAACTGTGGCCCGAAAGAAACCTATTTTGAGATGATTTTTTAGGTTTGATTTCCACACTTTCATCATTTTGTTGAGTGCACTCCAAGCGTGTCCAATTCTTATATTCATGTCCTTTTCACCGGATTGTATCCACGAACCAAGGTATTTGAAGTTATCTACTTGCTTCAATTTGTTCCCTGCCAGTGTGACAAGATCACCTACAGGTTGATTGTACAGCATGTATTCCGTTTTCTTGTAGTTAACATGCAGACCCACTGTTTTCGCAGCAACCTCCAGTCTTAATAAGAGAAGTTGTGCCTCTTCAAGATAGTCAGAAATTAGGGCAAGATCATCCGCGAAATCAGTGTCGGTGATGTATGTTGCTACATGACGGGAGCTCTGCCGTGGTGTAAGAGTGAACCCAGTGTGTGTTTCTCTAGTAGCTTCTCTAAGGGCATAATCCAAGGCTATGATAAATAGGAAAGGTGCGAGTGTGTCTCCTTGCAGAACTCCCGCAAGAATTTCAAAGAATTCCGTATCACCATCAGGAGTTATCACCTGTGCTTCGGTGTCCTTGTAGAGTATGCTGATGGCATCCACTATCTTTGTTGGAATTCCATATGCCTTCAAGATCTCCATCAATTTCCCACGATGTATCGAATCAAAGGCTTTACTGAAGTCTACGAAAGTCAATATTGCAGGAAGCTGTTTTTCTTTTATTCCCTCTATGAGCCTACGCAGAGTTAAAATTTGCGGTAGTGTAGATCTACCCGTACGAAATCCATTTTGGTTCACCCTGAGCAGAGGATCCAGATGAGGTCTTATTCGATCTAATAGAATCTTGTTATAGATTTTCGCAGCTGTGACAGTTAGGGATATACCACGATAGTTTCCTGTGTCACCCAAGTCACCTTTCTTTGGTAGGGGTATTATTCCACTTTTAACCCATATATTCGGTCGATCACCATTGAATGTTTTGTTGCAGATGTCAAGCAATTGTTGATTTAAGGCACCAGTTTTCCAGACTTCAATTGGTATGTTGTCGAGACCATGTGCTTTGTTATTTTTGAAACCTTTGATACTTTTAACCAGTTCTTCCATGGTTATGTTATCCGTGTTGATGGGAAGAGGTTCATGTATTATGGAAGCAGTTGGTTTTATTGTGACACTGGGTGGTTGACCTAGCAGGTTTGAGAAGTGTAACTTCCATTTACTGACACGGTCTTCAGGACTTTTGGCTTTTATTCGACCCCTGTTTGTGCCCTTTCTTCTTGTGAACTCGTTTACCGTTTCCCATGCAAGACCGGATTTTTGGTGTTGTATAGCGTCAGTAATTGCATGAATCTTTTCATTCACATACTTCTCTTGTTCTCGATCGTAAGATTCCTGTAGCTCTTGCTTGGCCTCCTCCAGTTTTACAGCACTGCTTCTGGTATTTCTTCTCAAGGATACCTCATAAGCATTCTTCACCATTTCCCTTTTTTCTATGATGTTTTCATTTTCCCACGGAACGTGTTGCTTTATCTTGGCCTTCACAGGTACACTGATTTCTGCAGCTTTTTCATGGGCTGTCATGATATTCTCATACATCTGGTTTGCATCCTCATTACCATGTAAGTCCTGTAGAGTTTGGTATCGGTTGCAGACTTCAACAGTATACATGTCTTTGATGATGTTATCATTGAGAAGCTTGTTCCAATCGTATCTGATCTTTTTCTTACCAGATGGTTTACTTTGCCGCAGGCTTAGTCTTATTTTAGCTGTGACAATACGGTGATCAGATCCCACAGAACAGAAGGTGTTATAAGCTTCACAGTTTAAAGCACTATTTTTCCATTTGTTGTTTATTAGGATATAATCTATTTGACATTTGGCTCCAGAAGGTGATGTATGAGTCCAAAGCTTACCTTCGCGCTTTTTAAAACTGGTGTTCAGCGGTTTGAGATTGCATTCTAACATGTAGTTTAGGAGCAATTGCCCATTCTCGTTGGTGTGTTTGTTGTAGACTGACCCCTTAGCATCACTTGCACCAATCTTTCCATTCATATCTCCGCCAATTAGTAAGACATTGTGTTTAGGAACAGCCTTAGTCAATTCTGATAATTCTGCATAGAATTCCTCTCTGTCATCAACGTTAGATACATTGGTGGGGCTGTAGCAGGATATGACAGTAACAGCAGGATTTCCATTGAAAGTGGCAATGAGAATCCTTGGATTGATGGTTTCTACCGAGTTCAGTGCTTTGTGTGCTTTCGGACTGAGAAGTAAGCCAACACCTCGTATTGTTGAGTTATTTGTAGCTTTTTCAGCGGAAGATGTAATCATAACCCAACCTTTCTTCATGTCATGGTACTTCAACTCGATGTCATCATGGTAGATCCGATGTTCTTGGATGCATATGACATCAATGTTCTGTTCCTGAGCTAGTGCAGTTAGTTCACCTGTCCTTCCGATGGAGCTCAGAGTGCGACAGTTGAAAGTGGAAACAAGAGTAGAAAGAACGCAAATTCATTTTTTTACCGACGTTTTCACTGCCGTCGTCGTCATCCTTGCTTAAGGTCCCTATTTATTGAAATAAAACTCACCCGGCGATTTATTTACGAGGTTTCCAGGTGTTACCCGACTCTGCCATAACTGGAAAACATAATCAGTTGAAAACCACTGCACTGGGAAAATTAGCAGTAAAGTCGAATTTACATTGACGTACTCAATACGTCAGTAAACTTGCGACAGTCCCAATATAAGAAATTCTAGACAATTCATTGCAAAAACTAAAATAACATATACATTCTCAAATATATTATTTATTTGTAACAATCAATAATTATTCCTTCTCACAAGAAGTAATAAAGTCTGATTCCGGTAATATCAGTTAAGCACAAAAGGTCTGAATGTACACAACTCAGAATTGTGCATGATGCACACACAAAAATTGGTGTGAGGTCGAACTGTACTGGTCGACCTAATATCAGACATAATATCGACAAAATTTCAGTACCTTTTCGAAAGGGCATATAATTCAACTATAGTTCTTTTTGGGCACACGCCTAAAACCCTTTATGACAGATTATTCTTCATTAAGTGTAAAAAAGGGACAATCAGTAACCCTGTGTGGTTACTTTGGTGTCCTGAGACTAAAAAACTGTTCCGGTTTTGTTTGAACGAAAGTTGGAAAATACTGCATGAGCACACTCTTTGAAAGTGCCTACAGCTATTTCGAGAAAGGTTGTTGGAAAATGTGCACGCGACAATCCCGACAAGTATTGTGGATGGTTTTGAGTGCACTGTTCTTCAAAGAAATTTAAAAGAATGATACAGGGTTTTTGCGATGTTATGCTTGCGATTGCTATAAAGCTAAAGGAAAGCAACCAAAGTAGGTTCGACAGCTACAGTCGTTAGGAACAGTGTATTGATTATATCATATCCCATATTATCTTTCGGGATTGTCGCGTGCACATTTTTTCCGACAACCTTTCTCGAAATAACTGTATACCCGCTTCCGTTTAAATATGCTCAGTAATAAAAACAGCAAACTTTGGAAAGGACATTCGTTTTAAACATTAACAGGCAGTTTTGAACACATTACATTTTAACTGTAGTTTGTCATCGGGAAATGGCGCACATCGTTTAACATGGTTGCCAGAGGTCAGGAAATGGTCAGGGAAAATAAAATTGCTTCAAGGTTCACTTCGAGTCAGCAAAATTTAATTTAAGGGGAAGGTGAAATTTTAAGGGTACATTTGTACATTTTACGGACATTAATCGTATTGTATTGGAAAAATATTTTTCATGAAATTGAAGACAAGCTGATGTTGGTTTTTCAAAAAAAATCAATCCTGTTTGCATGTTGATTAACTATCAATTCGTGTATATTGCACGTGAGTTGCAGAAAGCATGAATTAATGGTTGCGAGATTGCTGTGAGGGGGCGTTTCGCACCGTTTTAACACCGTGTCAGTATCAGGACTAATATGTGAAATTGTTCATTCAGTTGGTCCTGGGAATTTTAGATTTGTCAAGAAGAAGTCAGGGATTTTCAGAAACCTCTGGCTGTGGCAACCATGTTTAAGATGACGTATGCAATGTTTATTTTCAACAATTTTCGCGTTAAAATAGTTAGTAGTGGTGAGTTAAGGGTGGTCGGTTAACTCGTGTCAGTTGCAAGATCTTGAATTTTCCAAATCTTGCCGGCAAGATCTTGAATTTTCCAAATCTTGCCGCAAGATCTTGAATTTTCCAAATCTTGCCGGCAAGATCTGGAATTTTCCAAATCTTGCCGCATGATGTTGAATTTTCCAAATGTTACCCGCCGGCAAGATATGGAATTTTCCAAATCTTGCAATTTTCTCTGTTTTCTCATTTGCTGTAAACGTGGCAATTTGTGCCTGCAAGATTATAAGATAGATTGTTTTTTTTGCTGAAAGCGCAAGAAACTCACGACAGAAACACTGGAAACAAATTATGCAAGAGATACGTACCTCTGAAAAGTCTTCATTGATCCATTTAAAGTGGTTAAACGGTCAGCTAGTGTTAAGATTCAAGTTAGGTTTTTTGGTAGAATTCGTGCTAGACGAAGCAGCTCTCAGTACAGCTCTTAAGCAATTTGACATCGCGATAAATATCTTGAAAATTACCAGATTTACAAGTGTCCGGCAAGACTTCGAAAATTTAAAATTTTGCCTGCAAAATTTGGAATATTCAAGACTTGTCTCGCCGGCAAGATTTGCAAAATTTGAAAAATTCATAGATCTTGCAGGCATGATTAAGAAAATTCCAAATCTTGCCGACAAGATTTGGAAAATTCAATATCTTGCCGGCAACATTTGGAAAATTCAAAATCCTGCCAGCAAGATTTGGAAAATTCAAGATCTTGCCGGCAAGATTTGGAAAATTCAAGATCTTGCAACTCACCACTCTTTAACTGGCTGCAGTATAACTCACGACGGATAATTCACCAGCTTGCCGGTCCCGTCTGGGGGTGTGTAACCTTTTATACTTTTTATACATCACATCTGGGGTGAAACAGTACGTACAATTTATCATACAGACCTCGGACAGAATGCAGTATTTCACAATTTTTCAAGACAAATTGCACTCAGTCAATGTTCAGGACGATCATCGTGTGCTTTTTGCGAAACCGTTCAAACAATTTCCAAAATCACCCATATAGCCAGCCGGTTCTCATTTCTAGTCACGAGCTGTCAGTATGGTTTCAGTTATAACGGTGTGTAACCTTATAAAGCGCTTGATACGCGTGACAGCCTCCTCCTCAGGCGCTTCGTTTTTCTCATCGTAGAGGCGAGCGCGAAACGCGAGTGACTGGTGGTGAACCGCAAGGGACCATGGGAAGGGTAATGACGGCAGACGTAGCGCCTGCCAGATCCTGTGTCGTTTTCTTAGCAAAAAAGTCGTTTTCTTGGCACAAAACAATTTTTGGTCTTTTTAAGTCTAGGAAGCGATCAATTTTAGTAGCATATTGTTGTAAACATTGTAAACTTTAGGTAGACAGGTGAATGGCTCAAACTTTGCAAAACCTGAGGTAGAAATAATCGACAGGCTGCAAAGGACGCGGATTCTGCTGGATTCTTACGAATCGAAGACCTCTAACAATATTTGATGACTTGACAGTATCGGGTAAGTCTTGTTTTAGTATTTAACTTGTCGTTTATTGTAGAATCCGGATTAGTAAAGTACAGCGCTGGCGACTATTTTTCTATTTTTTGCTCTTTTAGGCCAAATCCACCGAACAACGAGCAAGTAACCTTGTGAATTGAAAGAAGTGAAAGGCCTAGCTAGATTGTGCAAGGTCAGGAGTTGATTATGAAGACCACATTATGTCGTTACACCAAGATTTAAGTCTGCGACGTTACTAACTATGAAACCAGGGACAGATGGACATATTTAAGTTGATGCTTTTAGTTGACAAAATAAATAAAAGTGCATAACTTGTTGAAACTTACAATTACCTAACTCTCGGTATAAGATCCCTAGATTCTCGAGGGATAAGTAATGAACTTTATATCCGGATCAGGGAAGGGGTTGAAGAGAAGAAAGGTGCCAGCATTGACCAATCCATCATTTTGGACTACCTCTGTCAATCTTGATAAGGGAGACAAAAATCTCGCGCTACAAAGGCAGTCTTTTCTAGCTTAATTTTTTTTAGTATTTTTTAACGTTGTAAAATAATTAATGTTATAATATTTTAATCCATTTTATCTTTTGTAGGAGATTTTAATTTTGCTATCATTAGTTTTAACTTTATTTCATGTTATTTAGGGGCGTAACGATTCATATGCCTTGCGGTTCGATTCAATTTTGATTATTGCCTTTCAATTTCGTTTTTTTTTCGATTCGATTAAGCAAATGTTTCTTGATTCTTATAAAATTACGTGTAATGTAAACAATATGCAACTCTAAACCCTTAATATGAGAACAGTAACAGGGCCAGGAGGGTTCACAGTCGCTTGGTTCGTCGCCATGTTTGAGAAGCTGACAAAGAGCGTGTCGCACATGGTTTGCCTTATTTGGAAATTCTCAAGGAGAGGTTAAAGGACAGCATTTTTACCAAGAAACACAAAATGGCGCACGGACTGCTATCGTCTTTGCTCATCAATCAAAAACGCACATTAAGGAGTTCTGGATTCTTATTTTAGAATATAATAACTCACTGAGGGCACCCTGGAAAAGGTATGCAAAAATCATGAACGGTCATAATCGCGATTAATTGAGAATTCGATTAATCGTTACACCTCTAATTTTATTTAGCTAGACGTCTGGCATGATGGCACCCCTATTGCAAGACTAAAAATGTTTGAATAAAGGTTGAATAAAGTATATAGTTCAGTTAAAACACAATGATTTAATGACCACACTGCTACATCTCCTAATAGGTCTGTAGTCTCAATGTGACCTTATTGGGACACACAAATGTAAAAGAAGGGGAACGGTAACCCTTTTTTAACAAAAGTCAGTTCAAAGACAACATGCCAGTTCAATAATCTCAGTAGCCCGTGTACAGCAATTTTTTCTGAGAGGAAGGGGCAACTGTACACATGCTATTATCCCAGTATTAGTTCAAAAAACTCACATCAACCCAATTTCCATTGTCCAAAAACAAGGAATTATAGAAGCAAAGTATTTTATTACTTTGGGCAAGACAGCTAGATCGAGTTTAAGCTGGATTAGGCTGGGGGGGGGGGACTGCCATATATGGGCTATATAGGTATGTTGTCCAAAAACAAGGAATTATAGAAGCAAAGTATTTTATTACTTTGGGCAAGACAGCTAGATCGAGTTTAAGCTGGATTAGGCTGGGGGGGGGGGGACTGCCATATATGGGCTATATAGGTATGTGCCGCTGTAAAGAATATGGTTTTAAAGCTGTTCACTCTGGGATAGGGCGTATCAATCAGAGACTTTAAGTCTAGATTAGGGTATCATTTTCCCGGAAACTGATCAATTGCTTGAAGATTTTAGTCTAGACTAGGGAAACCCGGAATTGCCACTCAAAAATATAAAAAAATCAAATCAGCAAATTTATATTTATAAAACTCAGCCCAAAAGCAACTCTAGGTGTTGTCGTCTTTTCGCTGTTCTTCAAGATCTCAGTGTCTCAGTATTCTAACAGTTCAAGTTAATTAGCATTCACGTGTCGAAATCGTCTCGCCTCTTTCACTTCTACATTTCGAGGGTTACTAGAGTGATTTACAGAATGATTCGCTGAAAAAAGGAAAAGCCCAAATATCCTGATAAGATATTCGCTCAAAGGATGAAAAAACTCTTAGAAAAAAACTACTTACACGAGGGTCTCAATGGGGTTAACCGATAGGCGTAAAACGGCCAAAAATTTAGTCGATAGCCGTAAAAATTGAAAAAATTTAACCGTTAGCCGTAAAAGGGTAAAAAAGAGTTAACCGTAAACGAAATTGTTCCCTAGATTTGCTACTTTTAAGGAAGGTACTAAACTCACTTTTGGTTGCGTTTTTTATTTCCCGGCTAGTGTAACTCCGTACGCACGTTAGGCGAAGCGCCTTTTAGGTGTTAACCAAGAACTAGGCTCCACTTCCGGCGTTCTCTCGGGGAAGGAATTTTTTCCATAGCGAAAGTGTGGCTTCCTGCTGGGGATTAATATTCGCAATTTTCAGGAGGGCTTGCCCTCGAAACAGTAGTGAAACAACACGCAGAGATGTCACTGTTTGTAAAACACGTTGCCGATAAAAAAAATTTCCCTGTTTTTCTCTGACGCTACGGTAGACATTGTCATGCCTAGTCCCTGTACGGAGTCTTCCCACGCAATCTCGGTCAAGGCATTTCGGTGGCGAACTCGCTCGGAACACGTGACCCGAAACGCATTAGCCGCGCGGAATAATGCGGCCTACGGGCAAGGCAACGGCAGACGGTCGTTCCGTGCAGTCCTTCGCTATCATTAAAAACACTGGACACGGGATTTTGTTATTGGCCGTTTTCACCTCAGAGCTAGAAATGGATCATCCGTCTGAGACTAGCCTGTGTACAGTCGTGCCCTCCCCACAGACACCCCTTCTCCGACTTTTTCTGAGGGGAGGAGGTGGCTGTACACAGGCTATCTGGAACGGATAATCCCGTCTGCAAAATTAAAACTATTCCATTTTTGAAATTAAGACGTATTATCTATCCTACGCGAATCATCAAACGGATAACCCGTCTCACACGAATAATCCTTCTCCGGTGTGAAAACGGCCATTTCTGTTATAATGATGAATGTCGCGCCCCGGCCTTGAGTTGGGCGTTCGCGTGTCTGCTTTTGCTTTTTCACAAAGATTATTTTTAAATCGACTATTGACATTTCTATGAGTAAAATAATATTAGAAGTGGAATACTTTATAAAAAGTATGATCTATCAAATGTTAAAATTTTTCAAAAGAACAGTATATTTCATCCCGAGATGATCCGAAGACCTTTATTTTGATTTAAAGATACAAAAAAATACAGTTTAATTAATACTTAACTTTTTGAAATAAAAGAAGTTAATTTTTAACGTTTTCGTTAATCGTAACTGCAAAAAACTAACCGATAGCCGTAAAAGAGCCAAAATTTTAGCCGATAACCGTAAAAGCCACCACCCCATTGAGACCCTCTTACACTAGCGTGAATCTCCGGGTCTTTGTTTCTTAATCTGAATTCTTTTATTCATGTCCACTGCTAGCTCAAACTGAATTTTTAAATATAGTGCTAGAATGCAAAATACCCTTAGGGAATTTAGGGGACGCGTTGCTATGTTGCTATCGGTAACGCCGATTTAATTTATAACGCTAGGATAGGGGAATATTTAGGGAGTTTAGTCTAGTATAGGGTAGCAAAATTTAAGTGAAGTAATTCTTGTATATGCTAAGGGTTCCAGGGTCCCGGCGGCACACTCCCAACCAAAAATCCCTAAAGTACTCCCCGGGGATTGGGGGTGCAGGTTTTCTCTTTTGCTAATCATATCCTGCAGTGCAGGCGTTTTCTTCGAGCGCGCAATTTGCTCGCGAACTGAGCCATGTTGAAACTTTGTCGTCGTTTATAATTATCAGGATAGCCGTAAGCTTCTTTGTTAAAAAATACCGTATGATATATATGGCTTGCACAACTGCCAACCGTTTATTGTTCCTTATTAATATTCTGGATGTTTAGGTATGCTCTAGAGGATTTTTAAAAATCACTGAGCCACATGTGTTTTTAAGTAAAGTTTTCATATTGGCCATAAACAAGAAAGCCTTTCGCTTGGAAAGTTATGTTGTCTGTTTTGTCTCTGTTTATACGGCAGGACTTTTCCGCGGCTGGCGGGTGGCGGGTGACGGGTGACGGGTGGCAGGTGGCGGGTTAAAAAACCTCTGTAAGCAACGGTAAGCAGCCCACCAACTCCTCTGAAATTACCTCCTTTTGGACCCCCCCTCCCCTTGGAATTTCTGTCCTCCCTGGGGAGGGGGGGTGCGGGGTGGGGGTATGGATATTTTCTGGAACTACACAATTCAGAAAAAGTGTGATTTCCCAGCGAAAAAGATTGTTCGATGCTTATTATTTTTAATGATTGTTGACAAATTTGCCACACATACTTGTATATCACGGCACACCTTACGTCTAATAATAACCACGCAATTCACTACTGATTGAAGAAATCGTGATGTACAGCGTCGTTTCTTTGTTAATTGTTTAAATTTCTATAAAAGGCGGAAAAGATCTTGTTTGTCTAGTTTGCTTTTTCTTCCACATCGAGACGAAAGACCTGATTGCACTTCCCCAACTGTTTAGCCGTGTTCAGCTGTGTTCATAACAGACTGCAAGAGATTCGGCCTTCCCTGTCGTAGCTCAGTTTTTGCCCTAGTATGCGGCATGATTGCCATCCTAATCAGTATTTTTAAGCAGTATTTAAAAAATGCAGATTATTTTTGTATATATATACAACGAGATCAATTCGCGTCCGAGACATGCGGCGAAAACGGTCCATGCTGTGCCAAAAACGTTGTTGCTCCTCACAGCTTTCTTGTTTTAGTCTCAGGAAAATTTCCTTGTTTTCTCGAAATAGACATTTTGTTCATTTTAAACTACAAGTCGGGAACCAAACTGGCAAAGATTTTTTCCACGGGCAATGCTATGTTTATCCCAACTTATAACAAAAGAACAAACGCACTTGTCAAAAATCTGAGACACTGTTCAAACATGTCGAGAAGAGAATGCGATCTTACTTGTCTGGTCTCAGCATAAATATTACTTTAATTTTTATGAGTTCCTCAAGCCATCTCGTGCATGCGATATCGTGTAGAAGAATATTGCTAAAAAAACGCTTTTTGTAATGTTTATGATCTTTTTTTCTTTCTTTGGTTTCCTCTTTTTATTTTTATTTTTTTGACAATTTGTCACCCGTCACCAACCACCCGCCACCCGCTACCCGTCACCCCCTACCTGTCACCCGCTACCCAGCACCCGCCACTAGTCACCCGTCTCCCCCGGAAATGTCCTGCCGCTATTCATACTGTTTCCTGTTGTCTTACATGTCGCGTTGGTATATAATTATTTTTATCTTTGATCTATTTACCACTTTTCTTTTGCCGTATCATGACAAAGGTTAGGCGGTGGAAAATGCTGACATTTTAGGCTATAGCTTTCCGTGAAGTTACTAGATCTAAAATATTACTTTGATCGTAACTGTATTAACTGAATTTCTTGCTCTCAATGTAACTGCCATGTGTTGTCCCGGGGTTTTGTCACGCCGAACCACTAACACCGCAAATGGTGTAGGTTTATTTGGCCCGATTACCAGCCGCTGTCAGACAAACATTGAAACTTTTAGCATAGAAGTTCAACATACAGGGATTTTACCTTCAAAAAGTTAACTCTCTTGTGTATAACTCAAGATCGTAGATTTTTAGCGATGGTGTCATCGGTTAAACCGGCGACAACGCTAGTTTTTGATTCCTTCTCTGGTAATTCACTTGTTTATCTGATAGTTTTGTTTAGGCAGAAATTTCCTTTAGTTTCATAGTTGTAGTAGGGTTAGGAAATCTATCTTGCTGTTGCGATCACTGCGTGCCTGACGTCGCGAATAAACCAGACAAAAAAATGTGAGACAGAGGACTCCTCCCTCAGAAATAATTTTGTTCTGGAGCCAAGTGACCAGCGTTTTCCAGGGTCTCTCTCTCTCTCGCTCCGTGGGGCGGGTAGGAGAGAACCCTGGGAACGAGGTTGCTTCAGAAATATGCGAAGATCGATATCGCGACGTTGGACGTAGCTATCCCCCGAAAATCGAGCCTGCGGCTTGTAATGACAAAAACCGTGGACGAAGATCCTGCTAGTTGTAAACGTTGGATCTCTAGAAAAGAGATCTAATCAGCCAAAATATAACTGAAGAACCAAGAACAACATATCCAGTCAGCTCAAGGAAATTAAGGCATGGGTCTTTTTTCCTCAAAGGTTGAGGGGTGGTCTATATTTCGAGGATTAAGGCCTATAGCGGCAAAACTTGGGTAAAATAATGACTGTCAAAAGTTTATGCGATTCCGTGCAAAACAATATCTAAATTAGGTCACGTGCCTTTTCTCGGCCATTTTGTGAAAAAAAAAACTTAAATTAGAAATGGCACCAGTTCATAATAGCAGTGAATAAAAGAAATTGCAACCAAGCATGTCCCCAGATGAACGACTAAACATCTGTGCCCAGGCTTTGTTAAATAATTTATGGAAAGTGTAAGTAAACGGAATTTTGTACTAGTACTTAGCCCCCTTATCAAATGATTTTCGAATTTCGTCCCTGTCTAAAAGATTAACTTAAAAGAGGCTCTCAATGGGGTGGTGGCTTTAACGGTTATCGGCTAAAATTTTGGCTCTCCCAAGGAGCCATGCAGTTACAGTTAACGAAAAAGTTAAAAATTATCTTCTTTTGTTTCAAAAAGTTAAATATTAATTAACCTGTATTTTTTTGAATAAAGGTCTCCGGATCATCTCGGGATGAAATAAGCTATTCTTTTAAAAAATTTTAACATTTGATAGATTATACTTTTTTAAAAGTATTCCACTTCTAATATTATTTTACACTTAGACACGGTCAATAGTCAATTTAAAAATAATTTAAAGCAAAAGCAGACACGCGAACGCCAAACTCAAGGCCAGGGCGCGACATTCATTATAACAGAAATGGCCGTTTTCACATTAGAGAAGAATTATTCTATCTGACGCGAATCATGAAACGGATAAGTTATCCATTACATGATTCGTGTCAGATAGGTAATCCGTCTTAATTTGAAAATGGAATAGTTTTAAGTTTGAATCAACAATCCGCCTGACTTTTGAAGACGGGATTATCCGTTCCAGATAGCCTCAGTGTACAGCCGCCCTCTCGCCTCAGAAAAAAACGGAGAAAGGGTGTCTGTGAGGAGGACGCGACTGTACACAGGCTAGTCTCAGACGGATGATCCATTTCTAGCTGTAGTGTGAAAATGGACAATATCAAAATTCCCTTGTCCAGTGTTTTTAATGATCGCGAAGGTCTGTACGAAATGACTGTCTGCCGTTGCCTTGTCCGTAGGCCGCATTATTCTGCGCGGCTAATGCGTTTCAGGTCACGTGGTCCGAGCGAGTTCGCCACCGAAATGCCTTGACCGAGATTGCGTGGGAAGACGCCCGCACAGGGACTAGGCGTGGCAATGTCTACCGTAGCGTCAGAGGAAAACAGGGAAATGTTCTTTATCGGCAACGTGTTTTACGAACAGTGACATCTCTGCGTGTTGTTTTACTAGTGTTTCGAGGGCACGACCTCGGGAAAGAAGCCACATTTTCGCTATGGAAAAAATTACTCCCCCGAGAGAGCGCCGGATGGAGCCTAGGTCTTGGTTAAGGCGCTTCGCCTAACGTGCATACGAAGTCACACTAGCCGGGAAATAAAAAACGCAACCATAAGTGAGTTTAGTACCTTCCTTAAAAGTAGCAAATCTAGGTAACACTTTCTTTTACGGTTAACTCTTTTTTACCCTATTTACGGCTAACGGTTAAAATTTTTCAATTTTTACGGCTATCGGTTAAATGTTCGGCCGTTTTATGCCTATCGGTTAACCCCATTGAGACCTTCTTAAAAGGCCTGGCAAAAGAAATGATGTACCCACTAGTCCACCTAGACAAGCGCTCTACCGCCTGAGATTGGCTCAAATGAACAATGGCCCTCGAGCAAATGTATTTCCAGCAGGGCAGGTTAACTTTGAGCCAGCTTTAAAGAGCCAGCTGTTTATCGGTCCCTAGAAAGGTCACCCCAGGACACCCGGGATGGATTTGATTTGTAAAGCGCCCAGGCCTCATTTGCCTGGCCGCGCGTTGATCTGGCTAGGCCACTGCGGCGCGTCGATTTCGGCCTTTTTGGATTATATCCTTCTAGGTTTTCAAAGTCTGCTGGATTCATTTCTCTAGCTAGAAAAGCTTCATCGGTTTCTATATCTGATGCTATCCTATTTCTACGATCCTAGCATGTTTATTTTGCTGTTGGAATTCGAATTTCGTGGAAAACGTTGTGTTTGAAAGAGAGCATGCGTGGCGGCCGAGATGCCATCTCGTGCCTCCGGCTTGTGTATTATATTGTGTGGAGCGCGAATTTGACCAAATTATCATGAAACTTTGTTTGACTAACTGCAGAGTAAGTTTCATTGACTTTTGTTCAGTATTTC